GATCACCAAATTAACCCAGGAAATGCAGGAACTAAAAGCTTCCAATGCACAGTACCTCAGCAAGATCACTGCTCTAGAACATAAACTAGACACTCTGGAACAACAAAGCAACACCCACACCCAGTCCCTAGACACTATAAACACTCTAAAAGACCAAGACACCCTGCTTACTACCAATATTATAGAGGAAAGATCAAGAGTGGACCAACAACATGCCAATGTCGTCACCAACTTCCAAGACCATAATGACCAACAACAGCTAGCTGACGCTGTTGTAGTTAACAGCAAACATCTCCCACCCACAGTCACCCAAGAGACCTGCATGGAGACCACCTTACAACTTATCAAGGACCACCTTCGCCTTAACATACGTAGTGATGACCTAAAGGATTGCAAACTGATGGGCTACCAAGCGGGTAAAAAAACAGTGCTGTTAAAATTCCAAACTAGCCTACAAAGAAGCACCGTACTGAAAAGATCTATTTCTATGAAAACTGGTGTTTACGTCAATGAGTGCCTTACCAAAACAAGACAAAATCTCCTTTATCAGCTAAGAAAATTACGCTATGCCCCCAAAATCCACCAGTAATTTGTGAGGGACAGAAAATCGCAGTTAGGAAACAGCCCACTGGGAAGAGATACTTCATCTCAACAGAACATGACCTTAAAACATTCCTAAGTGAGGCTGGACTAACTGAATCAGAGTAAAGTGCAGATAATACTCATAGTCCACCGTTAGTGTTATATTGTCATAAATTTGTTCCCCCCTAAATTTCCAATACCGCAACTACTTTTGAATGTCACTGTTGTATTCAATGACCATTCTACCTCATAGTCTTAATTGTGTTTAATATCTACAGAATCTATCTCCTTTTTTACATCTTACCACTTCACTGTTCTATCTTATTTTATTTGAAACTAACCATAGCTTGTCCTCAATTATTCTACCTCACTTTAAGAAATACTCTATTGCCCAATTTCATTTTAAAATCTCAATTATTGCCCAATTTTACTTTAAACTATATTGACCAATCTTATTGTAAACTTTTATTATTGCCCATTTTTAGTGCCCATTTTTTTAGTGCCCAACCTTATTGTAAACTTTTCATCTTATTATTGCACTATTCTAATCTAGTGTTAATTACCCAATCTTTACTTGCCCAGTTTTAATTTATACTTTATTGCCCTATTTATTTAAAATTTTTATTGACCCTTTTTTTATTTGTAAAACTTATTACCCAATTTTGTTATAAACTTTTTATAATTGCCCTATTCTATTTTAAACTTTACCACCCAACTTTATTTTACTTTTCTTAACCTTTTTTAACCAATTCTTTTTTAAACTAGTATTTTCAACTACAACTTTTATATTATCCTGTCTACCATCTTACTAGCATATTATAACCAAGTCATTGTCATTTTTATTTTTATTATTTTTTATTATTCTTTTGCTACCTTAACTTGTGTATTTTATCTTGTCAATTTAAATCTAGTTATACTCCAGTTCTTGTAAACAACTTATATAACACCTTAGTGCATTTACAAGTGAGAGTCTGGTGCTATTTCTAATTTGTATTTTTATTATTAGATTAAACCTAGTTGTACTACAGCTCATTCCAGCACAACACATAGACAACATCAACTTTATTATGTGTATTAGTGACTATACTCTATATGACCAAAATGCTTTAGCTATATACTTGTCCAAACTTCCCACCACTACAGTTATCAGTGCTATAACTCAACACACAACTCAGAATATAAATAACCACAATTGAAACCAATTGGAAAGTAACTGCCTTTATTACACAGCATAACAAGCCAGCACTATCCTAAACAATGCTAAAGGTCTATCAGTTTTTAACTACAACATCAGGTCCTTAAGCAAACACTATGATGACCTCCTGGCACTCCTTGAGTTGCTAAGAACACCCTTCTCCTGCATTATTCTTACTGAGACCTGGCTTAAGCAGGACACAATAGATATCTACCCTCAACCAGGATACTCAGCAATCCTCAACTGCAGATCATACTAAGTTAGGGGTGGTATTGCAATCTATTACTGGAGCCAATTATCTTGTATTAGCACCACTTGCTTTAGTAATGAATATGGGGAATACATTTTTGCTAATTTGACTGTAAAAAACCTTAAGACGCCTATAACAATCGGTGCCATTTACCGGATACCACACACAAACATCCCAAATTTCAGTGAGAAATTAAAGGTACTAATAACAAACAGACAAATGAACAAGCACCACCTTCTCTTAGCTGGAGACTTCAATATCAACCTTGGCTTACTAGATGATCAGCCTGTAACTGATTTTATCAACAATATAAACAACACACTTTCATACCAACAATAACTAAACCAACCAGGCTCTGAGACAAGTGCAACCAAAATAGACCACAAATGGACCAATATACTAGCCCCCTTTAAAAATCAGGGATAATCACGAGAGATACAGATCCCTACCCTCCCTTTCTTGACAAACTTTAGTAAACCCCAGGGGAATACAAAAAAATTTCTTTTAGACCCCATGATGACCCCAAATAAGGAATTTCACGGCTGACCTAGAGACTGTTGATAGGCCTACAGAATTCTCCGAGGCCAATGGTAATGATGACTGGACAGACAATTTTCTTAACAAATTACTTAGACTATACAACAAACATTGTCCTATAAAAACAAAACAGATCACGAATAAACGGCTCGGTTGCCCATGGCTAACCAGCAGCAGTCTGAAATCCATTGATGAGAAACACCAATATGAAAAGCAATATAGACAGGGCCTAATACACAAAGATTTTCTTAAACACTATTCATCAGTTCTCACCAAAGTAATAAAGAAAGCCAAACAACTATACTACTCCAGCAGATTCACTGACACAAGAGGACATATGAAAAAGACCTGGAAAACACTTTCCCAGATTCTAGTGACCCACAAACTGAATAAACAAAGAATATTGACCTAACTAAACCTAATAAAACACCACTGCATCCCACTGACTCAGCTAACGAGATAAACGACTTCTTATCAACCATAGGATCTAATCTCGCCAATAAAATCCCACGTATCAATGCCCATGCCGGGGACTACCTAGATGGGAATTTCCCAAATTCCTTCTATCTTGTACCAACTGAGCCCACGGAAGTCACTTAAAAATAACTCAGAGAATCTGTCTCATGTCCCACCATTATTGTACAAGCGTGCAGCTCATGTCCTTTTGCATGCTATTTCATTACTTTTTAACAAGTCACTAGACACTAGCACGTCCCTGAAACTACTCAAGAGGTGGTGACCCTACAGATTTAAACAACTATAGGCCAATATCAAACTTACCATTGCTATCCAAAATCTTTGAGAAACTCGTGCACAGGAACTGTATTCATTTATAATGGCACAAAACATACTCAACCCCTGCCAATTTGGTTTCAGGAAAAATAAAAGCACTAATGATGTAATTATAAAAATGCTAGATCTGCTTTACACCACATTGGAAAATAAGGAATATCCGCTAGGAATTTTTATTGACCTAAGAAAAGCTTTTGACACAGTAGACCACAGCATCCTACTCCACAAACTTGACCATTATGGTATAAGAGGCCATGCGTTTGCATATTTCAAATCCTACCATACTAATAGGTATCAGTATGTCATCATTAAAGACACAGTATCATCAACACGGCCACTTGATACAGGGTTCTGCAGGGAAGTGTCCTTGGTCCCCTGCTCTTCCGCATTTATATTAATGATCTTCCAAACGTATCCCAACACCTGAACCCCATTCTCTTTGCTTATGACACGACTTATGTCATCTCTCACCTTAATCTTGCCACCCTCAACACCATTGTTAACGAGGAGCTGCTCAAAATATCGGCTTGGATGACATCCAATAAACTTATGCTAAACACTGACAAAACCTACTGTATTATGTTTGTTGCAGAGCAGGAGTTGCACAAAATAACATTAGATCGACAACACTCTAATTGCCAGACATAATGAGGGCAAATTTTTAGGCGTATACCTCGAAAACAACCTGAATTTCAGCACCCATATCCAACGCATAACCGAAAAAGTATCCAAAACAGATGGGATCCTCTCCAAGATACGATACTACGTGCCGCAAAATGCCCTTCTCACACTATACCACTTACTTATTTATCCATACCACACCTATGCTATTTGTGCTTGGGGATCAACTGCAGCAACACACCTAAAGCCAATAATAACCCAACAAAAAGCAGCAGTAAGAATAATCACTAAATCCCATCCCTGGCAACACCCCCCACTCTTCATGGATCTAAACTTACTCCCTGTTCAGTACATCCACAGTTACTACCGTGCAATCTACATCTACAGGACCTTCAATTCCAATATTAACCTTGACCTAAAACACTTTCTTGATAGTTGTGACAGAACACACAGGCATAACACCTGACACAAACATCTCTATGACATTCCCGTGTCCGACTAAACCTTTACAAAAATTCAATGTCAAAGGTTCTAAAATCTGGAACACCCTACCTGAAAACTCTACAACTGCAGACACATTCATCACCTTCAAAACTACCATTAGAAAACATCTTATCTCCCTGATACACACCATCAACTAATTACATGAATACCACCTGGTGGTTCACACTGACACTCACTCAACCATTTGACCACAAACACAGAAATATAAATCTTAATCTTAAAATAATGAATCCTAACTAGTCATAAGTTGGCCTGTGATACTCCAATACTGAAAATATGTATTGTGCCAAAAGAAAAGCATTCACATTGCTAAACTCACAAACTAGTATTTAGTCACTTAGCCATAATACCAACTTACCTCATAATTTGTAATATTTTGAAGTTAAGAAATAATCTAAGTCTGCTCGAAATGCCTAGCCATGCTAGGTGTTCTAGTGGCCCCCTCTGTAATTAGTATTTTCCTACATGTAAACCACAGAATAACTAAATTCTGTAAATTCAGCATTGTAATCCTTATAGAGAATAAACTTGATACTGATAGTGATATATTATGTCTGGGGATGTCTCCTTGATTCTTTCATGCCACTCCTCACACTTATTTGTTATCCCATCTGCATTTGTGTACCACAACTTCAACTTCTTTTCTAAAACTGTGGTTTAGTGGGTACATTGGGGTGGGGGAAGTGGAAGACCTGATAAGGAACTATGGGTGGTTGCTGTGGGGGTGGAGTTTGTAATGAGGTGGGTGGGGGCATTGGATATGGCATGTGTGACTTGGGTTATAATGTTTGGTTGCATTTGGGTAGTCCTGGTTGGGGGGCTTCTGTAGGTGGCTGTGAGGGAGGCTGTGTTTGATCTTCCTCCTGATTCTGGGTTCTCATGTCCATCTCCATCCTCACCTCTCTTTCCTCCTTTCGTCTTTGTATCATCTCTCTCAGTTTCTTCCTTTCTTCCTGTGTTCTGTCGCGGTCGATTTCTCCTGCAGGATCCTGTTCTGAGTTGATTCTGTCTTGAAAGTCACTTTCACTGGCCGGGCTCTCTTGCAAACCCCCCTATTCTCCGAAAATTTACCAACTGGCTCATGTCATCTTCTCCTATTGCCTTCATGATGCTTTCAATCACATTTTTCCCCTTGTCTTCTTGCTTCTTGTGTGTGTGTGTATGTGTGTTAGTTACCATTTTGTCCTAGGCACATGTCGATTAGACACTAGGCCTGTTGTATATACGTACATGTGTGTGTGTGAGTGTATGTGTGTGTGTGTATGTGTGTGTGTGTGTGTGTGTGTGTGTGTGTTTGTGTGTGTGTGTGTGTGTGTGTGTGTGTGTGTGTGTGTGTGTACTCACCTAGTTGAGGTTGCGGGGGTCGAGTCCGAGCTCCTGGCCCCCTCTTCACTGATCGCTACTAGGTCACTCTCCCTGAGCCGTGAGCTTTATCGTACCTCTGCTTAAAGCTATGTATGGATCCTGCCTCCACTACATCGCTTCCCAAACATTCCACTTACTGACTACTCTGTGGCTGAAGAAATACTTCCTAACATCCCTGTGATTCATCTGTGTCTTTAGCTTCCAACTGTGTGTCCCCTTGTTCTGTGTCCATCTCTGGAACATCCTGTTTTTGTCCACCTTGTCAATTCCTCTCAGTATTTTGTATGTCGTTATCATGTCCCCCCTATCTCTCCTGTCCTCCAGTGTCGTCAGGTTTGATTTCCCTTAACCTCTCCTCGTAGGACATACCTCTTAGCTCTGGGACTAGTCTTGTTGCAAACCTTTGCACTTTCTCTAGTTTCTTTACGTGCTTGGCTAGGTGTGGGTTCCAAACTGGTGCCGCATACTCCAATATGGGCCTAACGTATACGGTGTACAGGGTCCTGAAACGATTCCTTATTAAGATGTCGGAATGCTGTTCTGAGGTTTGCTAGGCGCCATATGCTGCAGCAGTTATTTGGTTGATGTGCGCTTCAGGAGATGTGCCTGGTGTTATACTCACCCCAAGATCTTTTTCCTTGAGTGAGGTTTGTAGTCTCTGACCCCCTAGACTGTACTCCGTCTGCGGCCTTCTTTGCCTTCCCCAATCTTCATGACTTTGCACTTGGTGGGATTGAACTCCAGGAGCCAATTGCTGGACCAGTTCTGCAGCCTGTCCAGATCCCTTTGTAGTTCTGCCTGGTCTTCGATCGAGTGTATTCTTCTCATCAACTTCACGTCATCTGCAAACAGGGACACCTCAGAGTCTATTCCTTCCGTCATGTCGTTCACAAATACCAAAAAACAGCACTGGTCCTAGGACTGACCCCTGCGGGACCCCGCTGGTCACAGGTGCCCACTCTGACACCTCGCCACGTACCATGACTCGCTGCTGTCTTCCTGACAAGTATTCCCTGATCCATTGTAGTGCCTTCCCTGTTATCCCTGCTTGGTCCTCCAGTTTTTGCACCAATCTCTTGTGTGGAACTGTGTCAAACGCCTTCTTGCAGTCCAAGAAAATGCAATCCACCCACCCCTCTCTCTCTTGTCTTACTGCTGTCACCATGTCATAGAACTCCAGTAGGTTTGTGACACAGGATTTCCCGTCCCTGAAACCATGCTGGCTGCTGTTGATGAGATCATTCCTTTCTAGGTGTTCCACCACTCTTCTCCTGATAATGTGTGTGTGTGTGTGTGTGTGTGTGTGTGTGTGTGTTTACTCACTCACCTATTTGTGGTTGCAGGGGTCGATTCTTAGCTCCTGGCCCCGCCTCTTCACCGGTTGCTACTGGGCCCTCTCTCTCCCCGCTCCATGAGCTTTATCAAACCTCGTCTTAAAACTGTGAATGGTTCCTGCATCCACTACGTCATTTTCTAGGCTATTCCAATGCCTTACAACTCTATGACTGAAGAAATACTTCCTAATATCTCTCTGACTCATTTGTGTCTTCAACTTCCAATTGTTGGCCTCTTGTTTCTGTGTCCCCTCCTGGAACATCCTGTCTTTGTCCACCTTGTCTATTCCACACAGTATTTTATATGTCGTTATCATGTCTCCCCTGACCCTCCTGTCCTCCAGTGTCGTCATTCCGATTTCCCTTAATCTTTCTTCATAGGACATTCCCCTTAGCTCTGGAACTAACCTTGTGGCAAACCTTTGTACTTTCTCTAGTTTCTCGACGTGCTTTATCAAGTGCAGGTTCCAAACAGGTGCTGCATACTCCAGTATGGGCCTGACATACACGGTGTACAGTGTCTTGAACGATTCCTTACTAAGGTATCGGAATGCTGTTCTCAGGTTTGCCAGGCGCTCATATGCTGCAGCAGTTATCTGATTGATGTGTGCTTCCAGAGACATGCTCGATGTTATACTCACCCCAAAATCTTTCTCCTTGAGTGAGGTTTGCAGTCTTTGGCCACCTAGCCTATACTCTGTCTGTGGTCTTCTGTGTCCTTCCCCTATCTTCATGACTTTGCATTTGGCAGGATTAAATTCGAGAAGCCATTTGCTGGACCAGGTGTCCAGTCTGTCCAGGTCTCTTTGAAGTCCTGCCTGGTCCTCATCAGATTTAATTCTCCTCATTAACTTCACATCATCTGCAAACAGGGACACTTTTGAGTCTAACCCTTCCATCATGTCGTTCACATATACCAAAAATAGCACTGGTCCTAGGACCGACCCCTGTGGGACCCCGCTCGTCACAGGTGCCCCATGTGATACATCATTACGTACCATGACTCGTTGTTGCCTCCCTGTCAGGTATTCTCTGATCCATTGCAGTGCCCTTCCTGTTATATGCACCTGATGCTCTAGCTTCTGCACTAATCTCTTGTGAGGAACTGTGTCAAAGGCCTTCTTGCAGTCCAAGAAGATGCAATCAACCCACCCCTCTCTCTCGTGTCTTACTTCTGTTATTTTATCATAAAACTCCAGAAGGTTTGTGACACAGGATTTGCCTTCCGTGAATCTGTGCTGGTTGGCATTTATACTCTTGTTCCGTTCTAGGTGCTCCACCACTCTCCTCCTGATAATCTTCTCCATAATTTTGCATAATATACACGTCAATGACACAGGTCTATAGTTTAGTGCCTCTTTTCTGTCTCCTTTTTTAAAAAATGGGAACTACATTTGCCGTCTTCCATACCTCATGTAGTTGCCCAGTTTCCAGGGACGTGTTGAAGATTGTGGTAAGTGGCACGCACAACATATCTCCTCCCTCTCTAAGGACCCACGGGGAGATGTTGTCCGGTCCCATTGCCTTTGAGGTATCTATGTCCCTTAGCAGTTTCTTCACCTCCTCCTCATCTGTATGTATGTCGTCCAACACTTGTTGGTGTATTCCTTGCTGGTGTCCCCATCTGGTCTGTCCCCCCAGAGTCCTTCCTGTCTCTACTGTAAATACTTCCTTAAATCTCGTGTTGAGCTCCTCACATACCTCTTGATCGTTTCTTGTGAGTTCTCCACCTTCTTTCCTCAGCCTTATCACCTGGTCCTTGACTGTTGTCTTCCTCCTAATGTGGCTATACAGCAGTTTCGGGTCAGATTTGACTTTCGATGCAATGTCGTTTTCATACTGTCGCTGGGCCTCCCTCCTTATCTGTGCATACTCGTTTCTGGCTCTTCTACTAATCTCCTTGTTTTCCTGGGTCCTATGCCTCCTGTACCTTTTCCATTCTCTGTTGCACTTAGTTTTTGCCTCCCTACACCTTCGGGTAAACCAAGGACTCGTTTTGGTCTTCCTATTATTTCTGTTTCCCTTGGGAACAAAACTTTCCTCTGCCTCCTTGCACTTTGTTGCCACATATTCCATCATCTTGTTTACTGATTTTCCTACCATTTCTATGTCCCACTGAACCTCCTGCAGGAAGTTTCTCATACCTGTGTAGTCCCCACTTTTATAGTTTGGCCTGTTCCCTTCAGTTCCTGTTACCTTCTCCACTTGTAACACTACTATATAATCAAAACTCAGAACCACATGATCGCTAGCTCCAAGGGGCCTCTCGTAAGTTATGTCCTCAATGTCTGAACTGCTCAGGGTGAACACAAGATCCAGTCTTGCTGGCTCATCCTCCCCTCTCTCTCTGGTTGTGTGTGTGTTTGTGTGTGTGTGTGTGTATGTGTTTGTGTGTGTGTGTGTGTGTGTGTGTGTGTGTGTGTGTGTGTGTGTGTGTGTGTGTGTGTGTGTGTGTGTGTTTGTTTAAGTGTATTGTTGCATGCTAGTACAGGTGTTTTATATTCAGAATTTAGAGCACACCTGTGTGCACTGTAGACAACACCTGGTGTGGTTCCTACCTTTACTGTAGCCCAACACACAACACTTGCACTTCTTTCCTTTACAACCTTTCAATAACTCGCTCTCACTCTCCGAACACGTCTTCTTGCACGTCCCTCCACGCTTCTTGCACTTCTTCTTGGTCTTGCATTCTGACGGGTTTTATACATGATTTAATATTTCTTTCACTTGAAGGCCTATCATGATGTTAGTTACTGAAGTCATTCAAAGTAGTCACTACAAGAGTTCAAACTCTTGTAGTAATATTATGACTTTAAATATCCTCGAAATAAATTCTCTCTGATTTTTGTTTTAAAATATGCACATTTAATTTT